GTCCAAATGTCTGTATTGGAGGGCATGCCTCGGGCTAAAGACGTGGTCCTAATGTCTGTATTGGAGCAAGCCTCGGGCTAAAGAAGTGGTCCTAATGTCTGTATTGGAACATGCCTCGGGCTAAAGACGTGGTCCTAATGTCTTATTGGAGCATGCCTCGGGCTAAAGACGTCGTCCAAATGTCTGTATTGGAGCATGTCTCGGGCTAAAGACGTCGTCCAAATGTCAGTATTGGAGGGTAGCCTCGGGCTAAAGACGTGGTCCTAATGTCTGTATTGGAACATGCCTCGGGCTAAAGACGTGGTCCTAATGTCTGTATTGGAGCATGCCTCGGGCTAAAGACGTCGTCCAAATGTCTGTATTGGAGCATGCCTCGGGCTAAAGACGTGGTCCAAATATCTGTTTTGGAGCATGCTTCGGGATACACCGTAGGAACGTTATCCGAGACACAAGATATTTTATAAATTCTTTCTGTACACTGTAGGAACGTTATCCTAGACACAAACTTCTCTCTGTACACTGTAGGACCATTATTCGAGACACAAATTCCGTCGTTACACTGTAGGAACGCTAACTGTCAGATGTGTTAGGAATTGTAATGAAAGAACAATCACAGTATGCAAATATTTCATCAACATTAGAAAAAATCAAGAACAAATATAAATTTGAAAAAATTATTTTACTATTGTCCCTTATTTGACAAGAATGTATTTCCTATTTTCATATTTCACCATGTCTGTTAAACACGTGACATGTCAAATGTCATATTTTGTTTGAAATAACCACAGGAAACGCAATGATATTTGATGTCATATTAATGTCAATCTGGTTGGCATTGTTTTAGGACATTTATTTGATGGATGTCACTTGGTGCTATAACTGATTCCGGATGTTTCGTATCAGTTGTTCTTTTAATTACATATAATGTATATTATGAAGTAGAAGTCAGTGCGATACCCATGACTGCCCTACACAGCACTACACAGCACTAGGCTGTTGTTATTGATCACAAAAATTCTACAGATTTACTCGCAATAATAACAACGACTTGACATGTTCTGAATAAGGCTAATATTAAGACTGTCTTGCTATATACGTGGAGGGAACGATCAGGTTCATATGACATACAGTAAAATATTAAATCAATATAAAAGGCTGTCCTGTACGCATGTCTATCGACTATTCCTGTGATAAGTAAAATGGTTGTTCATGAAGTGTTGTCATGGTTACAAATGTTGTGATCTTTAATTTTGTGCGTTTGGTTTTGGTTACTCCTCAATTCCTGCTATCTCACGTTGTATTTGAGTTTCTCTGTTGTGTTTTAGTTGGTTTCTGACGTTGTGTTAGAGTTTCCCTGTTGTGTTTTATTTGGTTTCTGACGTTGTGTTAGAGTTTCTCTGTTGTGTTTTAGTTGGTTTCTGACATTGTGTTAGAGTTTCTCTGTTGTGTTTTAGTTGGTTTCTGACGTTGTGTTAGAGTTTCCCTGTTGTGTTTTAGTTGGTTTCTGACGTTGTGTTAGAGTTTCTCTGTTGTGTTTTAGTTGGTTTCTGACGTTGTGTTAGAGTTTCCCTGTTGTGTTTTGGTTGGTTTCTGACATTGTGTTAGAGTTTCTCTGTTGTGTTTTAGTTGGTTTCTGACGTTGTATTTGAGTTTCTCTGTTGTGTTTTAGTTGGTTTCTGACGTTGTGTTAGAGTTTCCCTGTTGTGTTTTAGTTGGTTTCTGACGTTGTGTTAGAGTTTCTCTGTTGTGTTTTAGTTGGTTTCTGACGTTGTGTTAGAGTTTCCCTGTTGTGTTTTAGTTGGTTTCTGACGTTGTGTTAGAGTTTCCCTGTTGCGTTTTAGTTGGTTTCTGACGTTGTGTTAGAGTTTCCCTGTTGCGTTTTAGTTGGTTTCTGACGTTGTGTGCGTTTTAGTTGGTTTCTGACGTTGTGTTAGAGTTTACCTGTTGTGTTTTAGTTTGTTTATGAACTTGTGTTAGATTTTATCTGTTGTGTTTTAGTTGGTTTCTGACGTTGTATTAGAGTTTCTCTGTTGTGTTTTAGTTATTTTGTCCCTGTGTGATGTTGTGGCATAATATAATATTGGTCGGTGATGTGGAATATTTTGTCCCTGTGTGTTGTTGTGGCATACTGTAATTTGGTCTGTTGTGTTTTATTTTGTCCCTTCTGATGTTGTGTTAGAGTTTCTCTGTGTGTGTTTTAGTTTGGTTTCTGATGTTGTGTTAGATATTTTGTCTGTTGTGTTTTAGTTGGTTTATATTGTATTTGAGTTTCTCTGTTGCGTTGATTTGGTTTCTGAGTTGTGTTAGAGTTTCTCTGTTGTGTTTTAGTTGGTTTCTGTTGTGTTAGTATTCCCTGTTGTGTTTTAGTTGGTTTTGTCCTGTGTTATGGAGTTGTCTTATTTTGTCTGTTGTGTTTTAGTTTGGTTTCTGACGTTGTGTTAGAGTTTCTCTTTGTAATGTTGTTGTTGTATATTTTGTTATTTCCTGTTGTGTTTTAGTTGGTTGGACGTTGTGTTATTTTTCTCTGTGATGGTTTTAGTTTGGTTTCTGACGTGGTTTTCGAGTTCTGTGTTTGTGTTTGTCCTCGTGTGATGGAGTTGTATATTTTGTCCTAGGGTATATTGTATATTTTGTTTCTGTATTGTGTTTTAGTTTAATTATATTTCTCTCTCTCCTTTGTAATGTTGTTGTTGTATATTTTGTTATTTCATGTGGATGTTGTTGCATATTTTATCCCTATGTGATGTGGCATATTTTGTACCCGTGTGATGTTGTGGCATATTTTGTCCCTGTGTGATGTTGTAGCATATTTTGTCCCTGTGTGATGTTGTGGCATAATGTAATATTGGTCGGTGATGTGGAATATTTTGTCCCTGTGTGATGTTGTGGCATACTGTAATATTGGTCGGTGATGTTGTGGAATATTTTGTCCCTGTGTGATGTTGTAGAATATTTTGTCCTTGTGTGATGTTGTGGCATACCGTAACATTGGTCGGTGATGTTGTGGAATTTTGTATATTTTGTCCTAGTGTGATGGAGTTGTATATTTTGTCCTCGTGTGATGGAGTTGTATATTTTGTCCTCGTGTGATGGAGTTGTATATTTTGTCCTCGTGTGATGGAGTTGTACATTTTGTCTTCGTGTGATGGAGTTGTATATTTTGTCCTCGTGTGATGGAGTTGTATATTTTGTCCTCGTGTGATGGAGTTGTATATTTTGTCCTCGTGTGATGGAGTTGTATATTTTGTCCTCGTGTGATGGAGTTGTATATTTTGTCCTCGTGTGATGGAGTTGTATATTTTGTCCTCGTGTGATGGAGTTGTATATTTTATTCTTGTGTGATGGAGTTGTATATTTTGTCCTCGTGTGATGGAGTTGTATATTTTGTCCTCGTGTGATGGAGTTGTATATTTTGTCCTAGGGTAATGAAGTTGTATATTTTGTCCTCGTGTGATGGAGTTGTATATTTTGTCCTTGTGTAATGAAGTTGTATATTTTGTCCTCGTGTGATGGAGTTGTATATTTTGTCCTCGTGTGATGGAGTTGTATATTTTATTCTTGTGTGATGTGTTTTAATCGCCTTTGATTATGCGTTTGAAAATCAGAACTGTTCACATTTTCTACTGAAATGAGTCAAAATTGAAATTTAAGATAACGTATTAGAATTATTGACTTTTGTGTTTAGTTCCCCTTCGCGTCTGACTTTTTAGTTTTCTTCTGATCAATTTTAATTTTTTCCCAGTCGCCTCATAGGCTTCACGACTAAGTCCTTGGCATAACATGGACGAGTTGTAGAAGGACGAATCAGCTTGATGAAGGTTTTGAGTCATTTCCTCTTCTGCATTGACTTATGAATTTCTACTGAAAATTTTTTTTAACTATTAACCTTTCTAGGGTATTTCTGCGATGCAATGTTGTGGGAAAATGACATATTCTTGAAGTTCATTGAATAAAATATCGTAAATTACCAAGCATATCTAACAATTGTAGCGACTTACATGTATATTAGTTAAACACATTTCCAAGTAACATATGACTGATTACTCCGAGATAATACCCAACAACATCTGACTTATTACCCCGACATATTACCCAACAACATCTGACTTATTGCCTAGATACAGTACCCAGCAACATCTGACTTATTCCCATACACCCAGCAACATCTGACTTATTCCCCAACACATTCCCAAACATCATATAACGTATTTCCCGACATCTTTCCTAGTAAGATCTGACATATTTCCCGACACGTTTCCTAGCAACGATCAACATAAAACAATAACACCGTAGTTTATATTAGCATCAGTTTAATCACCATAAGAATATCACCAGTATACAAATAAAGAAAACACAGACGAAATGTTAACTGTCAATATTGCGCAATATCTGAAAAAAAACAGAAAATCCTAATTAGATCAACTCTCGCCAACAATAATCAACAATAACTTCACAGTTCGATCGTTACGGTAGAAAAATAAGCCATGTAAAACTGAACAACATCAAACGTAAAAGATAAATTATGCCTGACTCTTATAGCTGAATGGTGATAATCATTAATCGGTGCCAAATAAGGAGGTTTATATTAATAACTATGTTTAGGGTAATAACAAGAGCTTAAGTAATTTTAAGTAAAGCGAAGGTGATAATATATATCTAGATTAATACTGAAGCTAGGATGATCATATGTAAATATATTTATAGTAAAGCAAGGTTGGTAATACATATAAACCAGATTTATATTAAAGCGAAGGTGATAATGTATGTCTAGATTTATGATAAAGCGAGGTTGATTATGTTTTACTAGATTTTTAATAAAACGAGGTTGATTATGATCTGATTAAAATTTCTACATTTGTAGTAAATTAGTAAAGCGGAAGTATTAAAACATTATATATCTCGCCAGTATTGGTTAGATTTTAACACTACAAAATGACATTGGTAACAAGTGTGTATACTTACATCACAGAGTTGCTTCTATAGTAAGGAGAGTCAGGAGTTTAACCAGAGTTGGAGTTCCTCAAGAGGAGAAGGAGGGGTAGACCGAGCACTGTAAACAAAGGTTAGATGACATAAACATTTAAATAAACACACGTTAGAAGAACTGTAGTAAGATTACTACATCTGTAAATCTGCCAAGACAGCAGATAGCTGAAATTGGTGTTGATTAATTCGTCATTCCTGAACACTATTCAAAGCTGTTGATAAAAATTGAATGAGTTATAAAACTGGGGTTAATGTTAAAAAGATGAGTTGAAAATCTAACGCTATTGAAAACTGGGGTAATGGCAAATTACTGTTTAAAATCGGTGTTAAAGACCAGACACTTCTTCAACCTAGAGTGAATGGCCGAACACTGTTTCAACTTGGGGCGAATGCCCGTACACTGTTTAAACCTAAAGTGAATGGATAAACACTGTTTTAAACATCCAGTGATTTGCCGATCTTTAACCTTGAGTGAATTGCCGAGCACTGTTTAAAATCGCTGAACTTTTAAAACTTGCCTTAATGCCACAGTTGAAATTGGACTTAAAGACCAAACTCTATTTAAAACTGGCGTCAATGGTAGAGCACCGTTTATGTAGAAGCCATACAACGAGTGCATGAGATATATAGTATTTTTGCCACTCGAGTTCATTTTTTTCAAAAGTTACAAAAAATATATTATTTAACGAGTGTTTTAAAGACTTTTGGAAAATAACTAACGGAGTGGAAAATTACCATTTATAACAACCACGAGACTGTGTGAACTGTTTCTACCAATAAAAAATTCATCCCAAAGTTAAATTGACCTATTCTGTAATCTAGTGTATTTCTACGTCATCAGTTGGGGCGTAATGATACGACCTTTAGTCAAAAGTAGATAAATAAGGTACGAAACTGACAATATCAGAAATACTTAGTAATAATAAAACTCTTACCAATCACAGCTTGAAATAAATTGATTTGTTATCTTTAAATCAAATTACTACAAAACCTACCGTGGACTACATTTTAAGCCTTCTGATTTTTGTGAGCGTGTTGAGGGCCCTTGGAATGATCAATTGAAGCCTTTGGAGTTGAATAACACCACCATTGTGGTAGAAAGCAGGATATATTAGGCGAATACAAAACTAGTCAAACACTGCATGGGAAATCTTATATTCAGGAACTGGAACCTATGAACCAGTCATAATAGTATTACTAATATAATTTTTTAAAATATCACTTACACAGAAGTCCAGATCCACCTAATCCAAAAAGACCATCGTTTTCCTCCACTGGTGGTGGGGCCGCTACGGGTTGGAGGTAAGGTTGTCTAATAATGGTCTCGGAGGAGACATATCCTTTTCCGTATCCCTTGGAGTGTCCATATCCGCTTCCGTAGCCACTGCCGTAACCACTTCCGTAACCACTTCCGTAACCCATGCTGTATCCGCCTCCATAATTATCATAGCTATTATATCCGGATCCGTATCCGGCTCCTAGTGCGCATGACACACCCAGATAGAGACATATCGCAATTAGTGCTGCAGATGATGACTTCATGGTGACTGCAAGGGAAAAAACATTCGAAATAAGCGATTTTATTCAGAATGAACATATTTCCCAGGCGAAAGTTAAATTCATAGTATGATACATTTTTTATCATTATACCCCTTATCATGTGTACTACCTTACCTGTTGGACGTCAGCTTGATGTGACGATGGAGGTTGGTGCTGGCCCTTATATAGGTCCGGGCAGCGTGACTTCCTGTTCTAACGGTCCCTTCCACGTGCCGTACATAACGTAACGTGACGGAGAGCCGGGGGCATATCACAGTACCGGACTTAAACTAATACATTAAATAAATCAGTTATTCAACAACTTCTTGGTTTGTTAACACAGCTAATACTTTTGCATCTAATATGCTTTACGTTGCTTAAGTGTCATGAATTGATTTTTTTTCTGCATTAAAATTCTTTATGATTCTCTCACCATTGAACTTTTTCGAAATATATTACAAAATCTATCTTATTCCATGATGAATATTTCAACGATTTTGTACTGAAGTGAAATATTCACCTTTTATATGCACTTTTGATATCTAGTTACAGTGTACGTCAATATACATTGGAAGTTGTACGTTTAATAACGTCGGGATCCATTTTCTTGATATAAGTATTCAAACATCATAATGTATAAAAGCGATGTCTTAAAATCATGTATTATCTTTCTTATTTATATGATGATATTTGTTAAATTCTGGGGTTATTAAACCTCCTTATTTATATTCTAACATTTGCTGAATTCTGAGGTTAGTAAATCTCCTAATTTATATGATGATATTTGCTGAATTCTGGAGGTGGTAAACCTCCTTATTTATATTCTGATATTTGTTGAATTCATGGGTTAGTAAATCTCTTTAGTTATATTCTGATATTTGTTGAATTCTGGGGTTTGTAAATCATTCTGACATTTATTGAAATCTGGGGTTAGTAAATCTCTTTAGTTATATTCTGATATTTGCTGTATTCTGGGTTAGTAAATCTCCTTATTTGTATTCTGATATTTGCTGAATTTAGGGGTTATTAAACCTCTTTATTATATTCTGATATTTGCTGAATTTAGGGGTTACTAAACATTCTTATTTATATTCTGATATTTGCTGAATTCTGGGGTTAGTAAACCTCTTTATTTATATTCTGATATTTGCTGAATTCTGGGGTTAGTAAACCTCTTTATTTATATTCTGATATTTGCTGAATTCTGGGGTTAGTAAACCTCTTTATTTATATTCTGATATTTGCTGAATTCTGGAGGTGGTAAACCTCCTTATTTATATTCTGATATTTGCTGAATTCTGGGGGTGGTAAACCTCCTTATTTATATTCTGATATTTGTTGAATTCTGGGGTTTGTAAATCATTCTGACATTTATTGAAATCTGGTGTTAGTAAACCTCTTTAGTTATATTCTGATATTCGCTGAATTCTGGGGTTAGTAAACCTCCTATTTATATTCTGATATTTGTTGAATTCTGGAGTTAATGAAACGTTTCGTTGATATTCTAATATTCTGTTCTTTAAATTCTCCTTCTAGATTTCCACATATCTCATTACTTACTAATCCTTCATTAATTATTTGGTAAATACTTAACCTATAATTATTGAATTTGTATTGAAAAATGCTCTCTGCATGATTTTGTGTAACGTATGATCCTCTGATAATGTAGCAATCCATTTTTTCTTAATTGTATTTTATATTCACAAATTGAAAACGGAAACGTGATTATTTTAATATTTTACAAACTGCATTGTATAAACAAGCTCACTTTTGCAGTACTTTTATTTAAACAGTCAGTCGAAGCAAGGATTTCAGAAAATTCAATGTTATCGATAAACTACACTGATTATTCAATCCTGAATACCCGATTTAAAATTGGTTTCAGAAGCAAATAATGATCTCGGAAACACATGCGTCTGGAACGCTTCACAGCTGCGGAAACACATGTGTCTGGAACGCTTCACAGCTTCGGAAACACATGCGTCTGGAACGCTTCACAGCTTCGGAAACACATGTGTCTGGAATGCTTCACAGCTTCGGAAACACATGTGCATGTGTGAAAAGAAATGGATAAAAAAATAATGTACATTGAAAATAACGAATATCATGTGTATCCACTCATTTTAGAACTTTGCAGAAAATCTGGGTGTCTTTGTTGACGTGTTACGCAGCCCAGCGCCCTGGTCCTAAGCGGCCCTAGAAGGACGAAACAACTATGTGGTTCAATTGGTGATATGGCTCTACTACGTTCAGTTCTAAATCTGTATCGTAAGTTGCGATTCCTTTGTGTCTTATCCATACACAGTTTTTTGCATGGCTTTTAACATTACATACCTGAGGTTCGCCTCTATTCTTTTTATCATTTTGCATTCTAGTGCATGATAATCTTGATTAAGATTAAACGTTTTGGCGTAGTTTTCATGTTCCTTGCTTCAGACAAATAAAACATTTTTGGGATATTGTATAATAAATCGAAAATTTTAGACTTGTCGCGAGAAGGGAAATAATTCAATCTATTGTTCCTATAAAAATATTTCTTCCTCCAGATGCTGATAGCATTTCACTATTTAAGGTACAACTTACTGACAGAAATTAACCTTGAAAGTTCCCATAATTCAGAAGTATAGATGTTCTTGCTCTCTGCGTTCTCAGTGGTCCATGTAGAATGTGGTAGAATTTTGATACAAAAAGTGCAAAGACTGGGAGCAAACTTGGCTGCATTGTCTGGAAGACTGACAATAAATGTCATGTGTATAAAATAAGTTATAAGATGGTGTATCAGATTTTGTTCTCCCGAGTGTCATTATCGAGAAATATTCTATAAGCATATCGTTGTACATGGTGTGAAAGTGGTTTTGAGCTCGACACATTTCATTTTGATCCTTATTCAGACCAAAAGACTCAGATTTCTCTACTATATTGTATGTAAGAATATCCGATTTCTCTGCTATATTGTATGTAAGAGTAGTCGATTTCTCTACTATGTTGTATGTAAGAGTAGCCGATTTCTCTACTGTGTTGTATGTAAATGTAGCCGATTTCTCTACTATGTTGTATGTAAGAGAAGCCGATTTCTCTACTATGTTCTATGTAAGAGTAACCGATTTCTCTACTATGTTGTATTTAAATGTAGCCGATTTCTCTACTATGTTGTATGTAAGAGTAGCCGATTTCTCTACTGTGTTGTATGTAAGAGTAGCCGATTTCTCTACTATGTTGTATGTAAGAGTAGCCGATTTCTCTGCAATATTGTATGTAAGAGTAGCCGATTTCTCTACTGTGTTGTATGTAAGAGTAGCCGATTTCTCTACTATGTTGTATGTAAGAGAAGCCGATTTCTCTACTATGTTGTATGTAAGAGTAGCCGATTTCTCTACTATGGTGTATGTAAGAGTAGCCGATTTCTCTACTATGTTGTATGTAAGAGTAGCCGATTTCTCTACTATGTTGTATGTAAGAGAAGCCGATTTCTCTACTATGTTCTATGTAAGAGTAACCGATTTCTCTACTATGTTGTATTTAAATGTAGCCGATTTCTCTACTATGTTGTATGTAAGAGTAGCCGATTTCTCTACTGTGTTGTATGTAAGAGTAGCCGATTTCTCTACTATGTTGTATGTAAGAGTAGCCGATTTCTCTACTGTGTTGTATGTAAGAGTAGCCGATTTCTCTACTGTGTTGTATGTAAGAGTAGCCGATTTCTCTACTATATTGTATGTAAGAGTAGCCGATATCTCTGCTATATTGTATGTAAGAGTAGCCGATTTCTCTGCTATGTTGTATGTAAGAGGAGCCGATTTCTCTACTATGTTGTATGTAAGAGTAGCCGATTTCTCTGCTATATTATATGTAAGAGTAGCCGATTTCTCTGCTATATTGTATGTAAGAGTAGCCGATTTCTCTGCTATATTGTATGTAAGAGTAGCCGATTTCTCTGCTATATTGTATGTAAGAGTAGCCGATTTCTCCACTATGTTGTATGTAAGAGTAGCCGTTTCTCTACTATGTTCTATGTAAGAGTAGCCGATTTCTCTACTTTGTTGTATGTAAGAGTAGCCGATTTCTCTGCTATATTATATGTAAGAGTAACCGATTTCTCTACTATGTTGTATGTAAGAGTAGCCGATTTCTCTACTATGTTGTATGTAAGAGAAGCCGATTTCTCTACTATGTTCTATGTAAGAGTAGCCGATTTCTCTACTTTGTTGTATGTAAGAGTAGCCGATTTCTCTGCTATATTGTATGTAAGAGTAGCCGATATCTCTACTGTGTTGTATGTAAGAGTAGCCGATTTCTCTACTGTGTTGTATGTAAGAGTAGCCGATTTCTCTACTATGTTGTATGTAAGAGTAGCCGATTTCTCTCCTATGTTGTATGTAAGAATAGCCGATTTCTCTACTATATTGTATGTAAGAGTAGCCGATTTCTCTGCTATGTTGTATGTAAGAATAGCCGATTTTTCTACTATGTTGTATGTAAGAGTAGCCGATTTCTCTACTATGTTGTATGCAAGAGTAGCCGATTTCTCTGCTATATTGCATGTAAGAGTAGCCGATTTCCGGTAAAGGAAACTGACGATACGCGGGCTGATAAGCAGTGGGCCTTGTATTGAAGAAGTTAAACAGGAATGACCTTTTTTCAGCTCTACTGTTCCCTTACTATTCAAGGCTGAGTACTGAAGACTTGCGTCATTTGGTAAGTTCAGGAAGACGTATCACTCTAAAGTAAACAAGGCCAGTTACTGAAAGAGCAGTGATTCAATATTTGCATAAGAAATGTCTAGCACCTGAGGATATCCATACTGATCTGTTAGCAACACATGGGAATGATGCCCCGTCATATGCTACAGTGAAAAGGTAGGTGGCGGAATTTTAAGCGTGGCAGACAGAGCATTGCGTATGACGCTCGTCCTGGAAGTCCTGTCACTGTTGCAACCCCAGACATGATCAATAAAGTCCACGATATTATTGCAATCAAGATTTCACTGGAAAGAGTACATTCCA